GGAAGGAAAATGACCGAATCATTATAATTGAGTTCACCAGGACCTCGTAATCATGCATACTTGTAAATAACTTGGGGATACAATTACGTATAATGTTAAAAATGTAGAAGCATAACCCATCTGCGGTTGGCATGGCTCGTCCACCTAAACTAGGGTATGGTATGGTATGAGCCATCTTCCCTAGGCATGGCCTATCAAGGTCTTAACATTATAAGTTTAGGACATGAAATCAATCATCTGGCATAGACTATCTTTGGTTGGCATGGACCATCTACCTAACTACATTACTCCAAGGGTATAGCATGGTCCATCTACCCTTGGCATAATCTATCAAAATTCATGTATAACATGCCTAAAATCCCATTTCATGAATATAAATCTTCATTGTCACATATGAAAATAACAAAAGTATAAGTATATAATCATGCTTTCTAAGATAAGAATTACATGGTGTATATACCTACATATAAAAATTCTGCCCAGATTGTAAATCAATTTTAATGTAAAGAAAAACACAAATTGAATAATACATCACATCTTTATTCATGAAACTCATCACACACAAGATTTTTCCCCAAACTACATTATAAGACTACATAATTACTTAATTGAGGCTACCGTAATCCTCTAGGAGGGGATTTAGCTCATCGTGGTGGTGATAGAAGCTCTAATGATTGAAGAGGAAGACTCTATCTTTAGCTCCATGGCAGCCCCAAACCAAGAACATTCAAGAACCCTAACTATTTCTCATTTTCTCTCTCTAGAACTTCAAAATTAAAACTCTATATTGATATATGGTATGAGAGATATCTCTATACAAGTGTATATAACCCCCTTTTTCCATAATTCAGTTCAAAAAGCGATTAAATTGTGCATTCAAGTGAAGATGAGAGAGAAAATTAACTGAAAAATCAAATTGTTTCAAAGCTGCGCAGGTTTACGTCCGGACGCCAGGAAGTATGTCTGGACACTGAGTGTCCAGGTCACCTTGGGGGGGGGGGGGGGGGGGGGGCACGCATCGCAGGCTTGTGGCATCGGGCTTCCAGACACATGGCTGAGTGTCCAGACGCAAATTTAGCTGGCTACTGGAAATCCACTTTTTTAATTGTTGACCACGGATTATGAAAGGCGTCCGGATGTAAGATTTGCACTAAGATAGTGCATCCAAACGCAAGGCTGAGGCATTCATGTTTGATTTCTCTTTCTTTGCTCAGCTTCCGAGACCTGACTCCATTCTCAGGCTGAGTACAATCTTTAAGCTTTAAGTCCATTTTTTCGGGTTCCGTAGCTCGCCAATTTCCTTGTCCATTAAAAAGCCTTAATATCCTGCTTTTACATCATTTTGGAGATAAACCCTAAAATTAACAAATAAACACAAAAGTGTATAAAACATACTTTATTGACATTGACCGGTGTATGCCACACCACCGTCAAGCTTGATGAGTATGCATTTAGGCGAGGGCTAAGAGTTTTACATTTATAGAAGCCACTACTACCTTTCACTAAAAATATAGCTAGGGCGAGTAGGGATCGTCCCAAGGGACTGTGAGGATCGACCAATGTCGTGGAATTGTTATTAGGGCTAGTAGGTCGAGTGATCAAACAATTGGTTGGTTGGTTGATTAAAGAACAACTAAATTAAACTAAGTAATAGCAAGAAAATGCAATTAAGAGTAAGTAAGAGAAAGAGAGAGAGATCTTGGGTTTAGAGATCACCACTAAGCAATGCATTTCTATATCATTGACAAGTAATTAATGAGGGCAAATGGTGTGTTGCAATATTGGTGTGTGTGTGTTTGGTTGATTCAACAAGTAAGGATGACTAGTTAAGCATGTATTATCTAAACATCATGTGAAAGGCACAATATATCTAAGCAATGAAGTATATATTGTCTAAACAACATGTGAAAGGCACAATAAATCAAAACAAGTCATTAATCATTTCATTAAGCTCATAATCTAAATACAACACAAGGATAGAGACATATGCTACTTGCATTCAAAAGCATTGACCATCAAACAACAAGCATAGATTGTCCTCCCATTTAACACTACACTACAACTATACTACATCTACACTACTAGCATGAAAATAAACTAGGGGAGAGGCAAAATCCATCAAGAGAATCACAAGAACATTCCTTTAAGCACTATGTTTTGACAATCTCCAAATCTATAGCATCAATACACATAGACATGCATCAATAACACAAAATCTAAAGACAAGCACATGAACATCTATTCTAGTATACATAGACATATGGATAGAATAAAATGATCAATTGGAGCATTAAACCACAAAAATCATTGAATAAACACTAATCCCTCAATAATACACAAGATTAAGATATAGAAAATCTTCTTGAGGCTAACTCTAGCCCCAAGAGGATGTCTAGCCACTCATGGTGATGTTGCTCCAACCCTCAAGAGCTAATTCCATGGTTGAAATCTGCTCCTTGTTGATGAAGAACTCCAATGGTATCTCTAGCCTCCTCCTCCTCTAAACTTGCTTTCCAAGAGATGATATGAAAATAATGTTGGCTCCCCTTGTAAAAAGCAATCCTTATCCTTATATAGGTAGGTCAAAATGACATCCAAAATGAGCTGGGGTTGTGCACACAATATTCCCTAATGATTGGATAAAGGACAACTTTCAATGAGATGAAATTTTAACTTTTTCGCACCAGAGAAAGTTCAATCGATCGAACCTTAGACTTAAATCGATCGAACTGGCTGAGATCTATCGAACTTAGGCTGGATCGATCCAACTAGTTGAGCTTTTTGGAAAAAGACCAATCCGAGATATTTTTGGGAGATATTTATGGGAAAAGGACAAAAGTGGTTAGTGGGTGGTACAGCTGTGGATAGGATCAATCATTTGAATAATGACAAAAGTGTTCGATCGATCGAAGGATGGTGTTGGATCAATCGAACTTTTGGGACTTTATGCTTTTTGGGCCAAGGCTTGGATCTATCTTGAAGTGCTGAGATCCATCATTGTTCGATCGATCGAACCTTGAACTTGGATCGATCGAACTTTACTACTTGTCACATTTGGCTTCATTTGCTTCCTTCTTTCTCCACTTTGCTCCTTTCTTTGTTTAATCCCAGAATTGCTTCAATTAAGCTCTTATTTGGCTGAGTTAGCTTATTTTTGGGATAAGTGCCTAAAAAATGAAATAATATAAAATCAATCTAAAACGGTAAAGTAAGATAGATAAAGGTACTAGAATGCCTAAGCTTAAGGGGTTTAAATACGCATTTTTCAGCGCTCATCACACCCCCAGACTTAAATATTGCTATTCCCTAGCAATGAACTAGAAAGTAAAGGAATGAAATAAACAACTATACAACTATGAATCAGAAAATAATATATGGATAACGCCACTTTTGTTGGGAACACGATTGCACTTGGTACATGCAACAAGCCTTTTAAACCCCTAGGTTACCCCTAGTGGACTAGTGAAGTCTCGTGAGGGTTTCCATAAATGGTACCCATAAACATTAAGATCATTCTTTCAAAAGAGGCACCAATATTGCAAACAAGTATTGGAAGAAAACTACCCCAAGTATGCAATTTTTCAAACATTTCTAAGCAATCTCTCAAAATTCAACATCAAACAAGCAAATATGGTCCTCCACACATCAAGAAAATGATCATGCAAATCAAAACAACTTTAGAATCCTTTTGAGTGGACCGGTGTCAAATGTGTTGCTATCTTAGCCAACTAAAGAATTAATCACATCCTTACCCTCAAACTAGCACACAAATCTAGTACTAATCATCAAGACAAAAAGTGGATATTTTATTAAAGTTTTATTATTCTAGATGCGCTTATTCTTTTCACTCGATTTTTTTTTTTTTTTTTTTTTTGAATAGAATCAAAGATGGAAGTATAGTGCAATGTGTTGATCTATTAAACTTTCTAGTGATTCATGAGGTTGAGCGTTAGGTTAATGACTCCCAAATCAGACGGCTTTAGGCCATTAGGCATTCAAATACCCCTATGGACTTACAAGCTTAAATCAACTAGGTTACAAATCAAGACAACAACCATCTAATCATTTCCCACTTCTCACCTTTTGGAAGAAGTCCTCACTTTTTTTTTTATTACTTTTGCTACTTTTTTTCTTTTTTTTTAAACTCAATTATTAACCTAGAGTTTGGACCCTCAACCTTTCGGCGCGAGAAGTTCAGTGCTTGATGAGACTAGAATCCCGGCTACTTAGTGAAAAGGGGTTATTATCCACCTTTATCAAGAATGAAAACTTTCAATGCACTACTAGCTCAATTGGGATATAACCAATTCAATAATCAACAAAGCATGTACCCCACAAATGAATGCTAGTGTGCGCCGGTGCTAGTATAGAAGACTAGAGTGAATCTCAAAACAATCACAAAATCAAGATGATGTGGACCACAAGTGCAAGCAAGATATCAATCTTTCGAAAAATTTACCCCTAAATGGTATTCGTAAGGCATACAAGGAGTATTGGACTCTCAAGTCAAGCAATTTTTAAATTTTAAGCAATATAGTCCTCAAAAAATCAAAATCATAGTTAGATATGGACCAATCATAAAAATATCCCTCCAATACACAAGTCATGCTCAAAATTTGAATTTAAAGCTAACACTGTAAAGCACCATTCCCCCCAAACTTAAATGGCACAATGTCCTCAATGTGCAAAGAGAACAAAGGAAAGAGTATACCAATGCAACTAAGTAAGAATGATTGGGACTGAAGTATCCGAAGTGGGTGGCATTGCCCCCCCAAACTTGGGATGAACTGTGGTCCTGAAAATTGGCACTTGGATAAACTAATCAGATAACAAAATGGGATAATCAGTGTACAGTGGTCATGCAAGTGTAAATGGGATAAACAAATAAAGAAATGAGAGAGGTATAAGGGTGGTCCTGGAAATTGGGTAGTACTCTCTCACTGAAGTCACTGTGATGCACCTGATGTAGTCAAACATACATATATGAGAATACAATCATATGACATCCATAGCAAAAATAGATATATATAAAATGGATAAAGTGCAAGTACAACAAAAATATCAAAACCGACAGACCGGCTGTAAAAATAATAATGTACAGTGACAATAGTAAAGTATCAAAAGGAGAGAGGGATCATAAGATAGAAAAGACTGGGAGCTCAGGAGGATAAGGTAGGACAGGCAGGTCTGGCTCCGCGGATGTCTCTAGATAAATCTCTGAACATGGTCGCAACATCCGTGTGGAAGGCAGCAAAATCAGCTCTGTGGGCTGTGAGGTTAGCTCGGATGGAAACAACAGCATCCTCAAGCGTCTGCAGACGTACTCCAAAGTCGGGGGTCATATCTGGAGTCTCAGGCATAGATGAATCAGAAGAAAGCTCCTGAGTCTGCTCCTGCTCATGAATGGGCGACCTGGTTGCGGAGTCCTGCTCTACATCGTCTGCAGGGCGCTCTAAGTCTATGTCTAAGTGCTCGGCAGCTAGATCGACTGGTGCGTCGTCCGGTACAGGATGTGCTGCTGCTGCCTCTGCCTGGGCCTGTGCCTGTTCCTCTAACTCCAACTCCACTGCAGCCAGTATCGCGTGGTCCTGCAGCCTGGTAATAATGAAGCGATAGGTCTTGTTCCAGTTCTTCTTGCGGTAATGACTGGAACCTCTCTCGGGGTGCTCCCGAGGATGGATGGGGTAGGGCTGATCAATGAGAATCTGGGTGATGAGGTGGCTGAAAGGAAGAGACTTAGCCCGTCCGGGGTTCTCTTTGTTGATGTACTCGTCATACAACTTCCTCATCACGCTCCAGATGAGCGCGGGAGTGGACACCCAGTGCCCAGTGTAGAAAGAGTAAAGGGCTGTCAGATAATCGCCCCTCCTCTAAATCTTGTGCCCCGCCATATATATATTCCGATAGAGAACGGAATCAGTAAACCATAGGTCGTCGGGAAGGAATATCCGGGTGGCGAAGGTCTCACCACTGGTATGGTGACCTGTGAGGAAAACTGCCATGTCGGCATATGAAGGCCTGAATAGCCTCGGATATGTGTCCTAAAGCTCTGGGGGACATCTATGTGGACAGCGGCTAGAGCGGGCTAAAGTGTCCACTGTAATGGTGATCGGTTAACCATCGATAGAAGTGACCATCTCGGCTGTGGTACGCGGCGATGGTCAGAGGTTCTGGTAGAACAACCGAACCAGCCGTGGGTAGACCAGCTCTGTAACGGGGGTAATAATAGCGGCTAGGCCCCTCTGAATAATATCTTGGTAGGCGGATCGGGTCAGCACCGATCGAGATAAGAAGGCCGTGTCAAACTCTGACTCATGGTCGAGCGTCATGTACGCATATCGAGGCGTGGGCTTATCACGCCCCAGGTGAGTTGGCTAAGCTGGTTGATGTGGTATATGTGAATGCTCAGCTCCAGTCTGCGGTGGAGATGGTAATGGAGTGAAAGCAGGATGAGCCGCAGAAGTGGATGGTATGTGGTCATCCTCAGGCTCATGAGATGGTGACTAAGGTAGGGTAGCCTGTGCTGGCTCCCGCTGTGCATAAAAAGGCTCTGCTGGCTCCTCTGTCCGTGGCCTAGTATGTCGGGTGGGCCCTGTGTTGCCTGTTGGCAACGGTCTTCCTCTTTACCATGGCCTACAAACAGAAAAAGAAAAACTTGCAATGGGAGTTAGTGCCAGAATAAGAAATTTAAAAGCACGAAATAGAATCATGTATGTCAAGTAAAATAAACAAAACAAATATGACATGAATCTATGCAAGTGGTAGAATATGAAACATGCTAAACAATGTAAGTATGAAATGCATCCAATGTGGAATATCACAGGCATTGGGCATAGATATGATAGCATGAACATAAGATATGATGAATGAAGTGTGTGTGTGTGAGATCTGTGAAGTTCGATCGATCATAAAAAGAAGTGAGATCGATCACAAAAGTTGGATTGATCGAAAGTAAGTGAGATCGATCTCACTACTTCGATCAATCGAAGACATGAGTTTGATCGATCTCTAAATATCGATCGGAGATACTAGCTCGATCGATCGAACTGTGCAACGTTGAAAACTCAAAAGTCACAGATCTGTGACCTTGGAAGCATGGGGCCCACACGAACGTGTTCGTGGGCCCAACAACACATCAAATCAACAAATCCATCACAAATCGAGGCCTAAACTCTAACAAATCTAAACAAATCTCAAAATATCTACAAAACATACACACGTATATACACATATATATACAATGCTTCGAAGGCTCATCAATGGCGGATTCATCCATCTAAGCAACCTAAATGGAATATGTAAATCATTGAATCATCAAATCGAAGATCAAATCTCAAAGTGGATTTCGGTTCTTACCTTGAACGAGTGAGAGAAGTGGATGCGAAGAGGGAAAGATGGAATTCGAGATGAGAGAGAGATGTGAAGCTTGGAAACTCGCCGGAAAGCTTCACCGGAGATGGTGAAGTGGTTGGACAGTAACGGCGACAAAGAGAGGTTAAGGCTTTAAGGATGAGGGTGAGTTAGATCGATCTTGCAAACCCTCAGTTCTATTTTTTAAAAACATTCCCGACAGAGTTCGATCGATCGAACTCAATTGTGATCGATCGAACTTTGTTGAACTCTCTTCAAAGTATTTTTGGATTTTTGAAATTTTTGAAAATTGCAAAATGAAAATTAAAAATTGGGATTAAAATTAAAAATTGGAAAATAAAATAAAATATTTTTGGTTATTATTATTATTATTATTTTTAATTAAATTTAATTGAATAAACACTAATAATTAAAAATTAATTAAAATAGAATATTTTTGAATTTTTGAAAAATAAAATAAAATATAATAAAATGAAAATAAAATGAATATGCAAATGCAAATATTTTTGAATTTTTTGAAATTTTGAAAAATCAAAACAAAGTCAAAATAATGAAATGAAGATTAAGATCGATCGAAACAAGAGTTCGATCGATCAGACAGAAAGCAAAAATATGTAGGTTTTTGGCTCAGAAAATTGGTTAAGTGTTGGAACATGAGATTGATCGAACTTGGAAGTTGGATCGATCGAAGAACTTTCAGATCGATCTTGGAATGTTTCGAACGATTAGATAGAGAGCTGAAATATGCATGTTGATGCAGGCTCAAAATTTTTCTAAGTGTTGAATCATGAGATTGATCGAACTTGGAAGTTAGATCGATCGAATGTCTCTTAATTGATCTGAGAGTTGGTTCGAACGATGGGATAGAGAGGTGATTTGGATGCAGGTTTCTGCAGGTCGAAAAATTTTCTAAGTGTTGGATGCAGAATGGAGTTCGATCGATCGAACTCTGGTTTGAGATCGATCGAACTATGCAGAATGCTCAATAATGACATGAAAACTTATGCAATCCTCACCAAAGTTCCTTGAAGTGCATATGAACCAAAAACAAGTATCTAGACTTCGCAAGAAATGAAATGAAAGATAGAAATGGGGAGGAATAGGGTTTTGACACCCTACGAATGCTTTTACTAGTCTTTAACTTCTCTAGCAAGACATTGGGCTCTTTTAGCCCGGATCAAAGATCATATAATGCATCCCCTCCTTGTTGGGGTGATAGATGCTTTGAACTCCTCCCAACAAATGGTTCTTTGAAGAACTTGTTGGATTAAGCTTAAAAGAAATCTTTGGTCCTTTGTCTATGCAATCACAACCTTTGGGCTTCCATGCCCTTTCAAAGCTAGAGTTTGAAACAAGACTTTTAGAATGCAAGGTTGAAGATGATCTTTTGGAAGTTTTGGTTTTACACAAAAGCTCATTTCCTTGACATTGAAGATCATGACATTCATCTACAACATTAACTTCTCCTTCATATTTGTCAAATGAATTGGGTGTGAGATTAAAGATATTCAACTTCACCTTCATGTGGCCAAATGAGATCTTTATTATTCCCGTCCTACAATTGATGTTGGTATTAGCAGTTGCCAAGAAAGGACGGCCAAAGGATAACGGGAATTTGGCTCTTAGGATTGGGAATCGGTTCCGTGTCTATGACAACGAAATCAACCAGGAAGAAGAATTTGTCAATCTTTATCAAAACATCCTCAATTATACCATTAGGCTTCTTAATGGATTGGTCGGCAAGTTGCAAAACTACCGACGTCGGTTTCAATTCACCTAGGCCCAATTTGACATAAACTGAGTATGGAAGAAGGTTAACACTTGCTCCTAAGTCAAAAAGCGCCCGATTAATGATATGATCACCAATAATGCATGATGTAGTGGGTGAACCGGGATCCTTAAACTTTGGAAAAGTGTTATATTACAAAATTGAGCTTACTTGCTCGGTCAAAACCACTTTTCTTGGTGCTTGAATCTTGTTCTTCCGCTTTTGAGGGCATAAGTCTTTCAAGAATTTGGCATAAGCCGGAATTTGCTTGATTGCATCCAATAGTGGAAGATTAACTTTCACTTGCTTAAACATTTCTATGATTTCATTGGTTTTTGCCTTTTGCTTATCTTTTGAAATGGAACCTTTTAAGGCATCCGGAAATGGAACCTTTGATTCAAACACTTTTTTAAAATTTTCTTTTAAACTTTCTTCAACACAAGAAGTTTTCAAATCATTTTTCAACAAAACATTTTCAACATCATTTTTCAAAATTTCTTTTTCAAACACATCTTTTAAGACTTTCTCATTCACAAGGTCATGTATATGCAATGAAGGAGGAATGGGATGTGAAACGGGACGGGTGACAACTTAAGGTTGCACCGGTTCACTCTCTTCATTGGACATTCCAACTTGATTGTCCACAAGCCTACCACTCCGCAAGGTAGTCACTACATTAACATATTCAATGGTATGGCCTTCCGATAAGGAATGGGTTTCCATAACACATTGTTGCTTAAGTGGGGCATTTATAGGCATCTTTCCCTTCTCTCTTGAATTGAGAATGCTTGCTATTTGTCTTACTTGGGTTTCTAGCTTCGCAATAGATTGAGAGTGAGAATGAAGCAATTGAGTGTTAGCCTCTAAAGTGTCCAAAGCATTCAAAACTTTCTCTTCAAAGGCGGGACTTCTAGTATTACCTTGGGAATAAGATTGGTTAGGAAAATGAGAATTAACAAATTGATTCCCTTGTGATTGATAAGGTCTATAACCTTGTGATCCTTGGTTTTGAAGTGGATGTGGAATGTACTTCCCTTGAAAACCGCCTTGGGAAGGGTTTGAGCCCTCTCCTTGGTTTTTCCAAGAGAAATTCGAATGATTCCTCCAACTTGGATTATAATAAGTACCATAAGGGTTGTTCCCTTGGTTCACAAAAGCTACATTGACTTATTCATTAGGTTCACTTTGCACTTGTCCGTGAGGACAATGAAAAGTAAAATGAAGAACACTAGAACAAGTCATACATGTTTCATTTGATGCACGATGAGAATGGTTAGGGAAGGAAGATACTTGGTTCGCCGAGTTTTGGTTAATCAAAAATTGATTAAACCTTTGAGATAAAGACTTCATTTCGGCGGCTATTTCATTTGAATGGTCGACTTAATGTAAGCCAACACTCTTCCTACCTTATGAATTTCTACCATTCTTAGATGATAGTGTTCTATGCAAAAAAAATTCACTCATGCTCTCATGAAGATGCCACACGTCATCCTCATGCCTATCAATGTATGAGCCACCCATGGAAGCATCAACCATACCCTTATAGTTGTCCGATAAGCTCTCAAAGAAGTATTGAACTAATTGCCATTTGGGCATGTCATGATGTGGACACTTCCTAAGCAATTCATTGAAGCGTTCCCATGCCTCATGAAACGTTTCTCTATCCCCATGTGAAAATTCTCGAATTGAGGTCCTCATGGCATTGGTCTTAGAAACCGGATAGTACTTCTTTAAGAACTCTTGTTACATTTCTGCCCAAGAAGTGATTGAAAAAAGCCTAAGATTGTTAAACCAATACTTTGCCTTGTCGTTTAAGGTGAATGGAAAAAGTTTGAGTCTTAAAACTTCTTCCGACATGTCCGTATATTTTACGGTGGAAGATACTTCAAGAAACTCATCTAAATGCTTGTAAGGTTCTTCACTTGGAAGTCCATGATAGTTAGGAAGCATTTGAATGGTTTGTGGCTTAATTTCATAATGATGTGTTTTAAATGGAGGCAATTGGATTCATATAGGTGCATTATACTCATTAGGCACATAATGGGCTCTTAAAGCAAGAGGTGGATTAGCTACTTGAGGTGTAACATGAACACCTTGGTTTTGAATTCCTTGATTGTTAATGAGAGGTTGTAGATACATTGGCCTTGGCATTCCATATGGAACTTGGCCTTGTTGTTATGGTGGTTAGTGAATGAATGACCTAGGCATGCCTAATGGTACTTGTATGTTCTCATTGTGCACATTGGGATAAAGAATACCTTGTTGGTTTATGTGACCAATGTCCTCAACATGATCATCATTATGATCATCCATTGAAAGATAGGCTCTATTTGAACTTCCTCTTCCCCTAGGATTTCTAACGATAGATTTAAGATGCAAATCAAGAGGGACAAGAGTTGGTCTCAATGAACGAAGTCCATGCATGCACAATGCAAAACACAACAAACACAAAGAATGACAAATATTATGCCTTCACAACAATGCAATTAGACTTCTTCCACAAACACTTAATTCATACACCATGCTTTAACAACAATGATGCAAGACAATTAAAAATAAGCCTCCACGCGGGCCGACGATTTAACTAAGGGATTGAGTAAAGAAAGTCTCACAAAGGTCCTTTAACACTTCAACTCCAAATTTAAAGCTTAACTTAGCAAATTTTTAGAAATTTTTTTTTCTTTTAGCTTTTTGCTTTTTTTGCTTACTTGAATGCTTGATGGCTCATTTGCTTGCTTCCTCTCCAATAATGCACCTAGTTAAGTAAGAATAACACAATAAGTAACCAAAGAGAAAAATAGAAGTAAAGTAAAGACACGATCAAAAGAGTACTAATCCTAATCAATTCCACAAATCCGACATTACCAAATCTAATCAATCAATCCCCGGTAACGGCGCCAAAAATTGACCGGTGTATGCCGCACCACCGTCAAGCTTGATGAGTGTGCATTTAAGCGAGGGCCAAGAGTTTTACATTTATAGAAGCCACTACTACATTTCACTAAAAATATAGCTAGGGCGAGTAGGTATCGTCCCAAGGGACTGTGAGGATCGAGCAATGTCGTGGAATTGTTATTAGGACTAGTAGGTCGAGTGATCAAACAATTAGTTGGTTGGTTGATTAAAGAGCAACTAAATTAAACTAAGTAATAGCAAAGAAAATGCAATTAAGAGTAAGTAAAAGAGAGAGAGATCTTGGGGTTTAGAGATCACCACTAAGCAATGCATTTCTATATCATTGACAATTGATTAATGAGGGCAAATGGTGTGTTGCAATATTGGTATGTGTGTGTGTGTGTTTGGTTGATTCAACAAGCAAGGATGACTAGTTAAGCATGTATTGTCTAAACATCATATGAAAGGTACAATTTATCTAAGCAATGAAGCATATATTGTTTAAACAACATGTGAGAGGCACAATAAATCAAAACAAGTCATTAATCATTTCATTAAGCTCACAATCCAAATACAACACAAGGATAGAGGCATATGCTACTTGCATTCAAAAGCATGGATCATCAAACAACAAGCATAGATTGTCCTCCCATTTAACACTACACTACAACTACACTACATCTACACTACTAGCATGAAAATAAACTAGGGGAGAGGTACAATCTATCAAGAGATAAGTATGAACCATCAAGAGAATCACAAGAGCATTCCTTTAAGCACTATGTTTTGACAATCTCCAAATCTATAACATCAATACATATAGACATGCATCAATAACACAAAATCTAGAAACAAGCACATGAACATCTATTCTAGCATACATAGACATATGGATAGAATGAAATGATCAATTTGAAGCATTAAACACATAAATCATTGAATAAACAAGATCTATATAAATCAAAGTGTCAAAACATCAATTATAATACTAATCCCTCAATAATACACAAGATTAAGATATAGAAAGCATGTTTGGGGCTAACTCTAGCCCCAAGAGGATGTCTAGCCACTCATGTGATGTTGCTCCAACCCTAAAGAGCTAATTCCATGGTTGAATCTGCTCCTTGTTGATGAAGAACTCCAATGGTATCTCTAGCCTCATTCTCCTCTAAGCTTGCTCTCCAAGAGATGATATGAAAATAATGTTGGCTCCCCTTGTAAAAAGCAATCCTTATCCTTATATAGGTAGGTCAAAATGACACCCAAAATGAGCTGGGGTTGTGCACACAATATTCCCTAATGATTGGATAAAGGACAACTTTCAATGAGATGGAATTTTAACTTTTTCACACTGGAGGAAGTTCGATCGATCGAACCTTAGACTTGGATTGATCGAACTGGCTGAGGTCTATCGAACTTAGGCTAGATTGATCCAACTGGTTGAGCTTTTTGGAAAAAGACAAATCCGAGATATTTTTAGGAGATATTTGTGGGAAAAGGACAAAAGTGATTAGTGGATGGCACAGCTGTGGATAGGATCAATCATTTGAATAAGGGCAAAAGTGTTCGATCGATCAAAGGATGGTGTTGGATCAATCGAACTTTTGGGACTTTATGCTTTTTGGGCCAAGGCTTGGATCTATCTTGAAGTACTGAGATCGATCATTGTTCGATCGATCGAACCTTGAACTTGGATCGATTGAATTTTGCTATTTGTCACCTTTGGCTTCATTTGCTTCCTTCTTTCTCCACTTTGCTCCTTTCTTTGTTTAATCCCAGAATTGCTTCAATTAAGCTCTTATTTGGCTGAGTTAGCTTATTTTCGGGATAAGTGCCTGAAAAAAGAAATAATACGAAATCAATCTAAAACGGTAAAGTAAGATAGATAAAGGTACTAGAATGCCTAAGCTTAAGGGGTTTAAATACGCACTTTTCAGCGCTCATCAGACATACTAAATTGACTAAATCATGCAATTAAGGGCACTTGAATATGCAACATTCGGCGCTTATAAGTTGGATAGTGTAAGTGTTAGAGTCGATGTGGTGATGTTCTTGGGCTTAACCAATAGGTTGACTTGAGTTTTCGATTGTAGTTGATCTTGACATGGTGGGGCGGTATGTTGATGGTTATTCATTTCTTTCGAGCCTTTTTCAAGGTTTCAAGTTGGCTAGAGATTTTCGTAAGAGATTTCTTTTTTCTGATGTGGCAATAAAGAAATGAATAACATGGGGAGAATAGGAGAACGACATAAGGACGAAGGCCAATATGTTTTTCGCCTTAAGGAGGGTAGATTTCTGGGATGAAATCTGATGAGCGCTGAAAAGTGCGCATTTAAACCCCTTAAACTTAGGTATTCTATGACCTTTATCTATCTTACTTTCCTATTTTAGACTAATTTCGTGTTATTGCCCATTTTAGGTGCTTATCCCCAAAATAAGCTAATTCAGCCAAATAAGAGCTTAAAAGAAACTAACTCAAGCTAGATGGAAGAAAAGAGCAAAGTGGAAGCAGAATGAAGCAAAGTGTGGAAATCAGCATGTTCAATCGATCTCAAGAATACTTCGATCGATCAAAAGTTCATCGATCTAGATTCTCCAAGATGGATCTAAGCCCTGTTGTCCTTATCCAAAGATCCCACAAAGTTCGATCGATCCAACAATTTTCAGATTGATCAAAAAGATTCCATCTTATCCTGTTGTACCACCCTACCTACCACTTTTGTCTCTTTTCCCAAAATATCTCAAATCTGTCCTTATCCAAAAAGGCGCCGCCATGGGAGGATCGATCCAGCCAAAGTTTGATAGATCTCAGCCATGTTCGATCAATCTCAACACAGTTTGATCGATCGAACTTCCTCAAATCCGAAAAAAATATATTTCCAGCTCATTAAAAGTTGTCTCATTGTGCAATCATTGGAGGAGCCCTTGTGTACGAGCCTAGACCATTAGGTGTGACATTTGAGCTACATATATAAGGAATATGAGCCACTTTTACACATAGTCTTGGATAGTCTTTGATGTACTTTTTAGAGTAGAGAGATACAATTCTTAGAGGGGAAGAAAAGAGAAGAGGAGGCTAGAGACACATTTTAGAGAGGTTTTCCATCTTCCTCAAGAAAAAGAGCACTTCTACCAGCCCTTAAGGATTGGAGGACGCCATTCATGAGTGGCTAGACATCCTCTTGGGGCTAGAGTTAGCTCTAAGCATGCTTTCTTTACCTTGATTTATGTATTTTTTAGGGGATTTGTGTTGTAATACATGTTTTGACATATTTATATACATAGATCTTGTTTATTCAATAATTTGTGTGGTTTAATTCTTCCAATTGATCATTTCATTCTATTCATATGTCTATGTATGCTAGAATAGATGTTCATGTGTTTATCTCTATCTCTTGTGTTGTTGATGCATGTCTATGTTTATTGATACTATAGATCTAGAGATTGTCAAGACATAGTGCTTAATAGAATACTTTTGTGGTTTATTTGATTGTTCATACTCATTTCTTGATAGATTGTACCTCTCCCTTAGTTTAATTAGTTTAATTTCCATGTCATTAGCTTAGATGTAGTGTTGCTACCTTAGCTGTTAAATGGGAGGACAATCCATGCTTGTTGTTTAATGTTCCATACTTATAAATGCAAGTAGTATATTTCTCTAATTATGTGATGTGTTTGGATTGTGAGCTTAAAGAAGGATTAATGATTTAGTTTAATGTATTGTGCTATTCATTGTGTTGTTTAGATAATATATACTTAATTGGTCATCCATACTTGTTAAAACAGCCACACACAGTCACTATTGTTGCAACATATATTTCTCCCCTCATTAATTGTGAATTGAGTGTATATAAAGGTGATGCTTAGTGGTGATCTCTAAGTCCCAAGACCTCTCTCTCTTGTTTTCTTTATCCTTTAATTACTTGTTTTACATTGAGCTTGCTTAATCTTAATTGTAGTTTAATCAACCAAACAACCTACCTTTGATCACTCGACCTACTAACCCTAAGCATTGTTTCCATTACTAGTAGCCCTCTAATCCCTTGGGACGATCCCTACTCACCCTTGCTACATTAGTAGTAGTGGTAGTAGTGGTTTTTATAAATTTAAACTTGACCCAAAAAGCTTTTGTTGAACCTACATTCACTACATTAGTTTGGCATATAGGAACGGCCGAGATCACCGTCAAAATCCTTGTAAGAAGGGTAAATTGTGACGTCCTAGATTTTTTGGTATTTTTCGAGCATTTTTAAAAATTTTATGGGTGCACGAGGATGCATGCCATGGTGTTTCAGGAGTTATTGGAGACGTTTCTTCAGCTTTAGAACCCTTAGAAAATCATTTGGGTTTATTTTGGTTAGTTTTAGTTTTCGTATCCAGGAGGTGCAGGGTGAGCCCTGCGGCAGATTTTCGTGTTTGGAAAATTTCTCGACATCACTATGTTCTTCGTTTATGTTGGAGTTATCCATTTTGCACTGCGTTGTGTCGTTTGTGAATGTTAGGGACTTAAAACGGACTATTTTAAGCATTTAAGTGGGGAATAGGACCCGCCGTTTGACTAGCACTATATAAAGGGTGACTTAAGTTAATTTTTGGCAACAAAATCATTTTCTCTTCTCTCATCAGCCGTGGCTTCTCTCTCCCTTTGGTTCCTCTTTTCTTTTTCTTTCTTTTTCTTTTTTTACATGCTTCAGGCATGAAATCGATCTAGTTTGGCTTTGATTTTGATGACGCTGTAGAATGGAAGTTTGACGAGTGTGTCAAGACCTACATGTCTATTGTTTCAGATTTTGATTTGGGGTATTTTGGAGATTTTGGGTGCGACCCGAGTTTGGATTTTGGAGGCGTCGTAAAAGGATT